ACTCATGGAGGATTTTACACTTATGCTAGTGGCTTACGTTATTTCATTTAGTTTTCCCAACAATCAAAATTACATTTTATCACCTGTATTAAAAAGGAAACTGTCAAAGCAAGTGACGTGCAAACTTTGGACTGGAACACGGGTCTTTCTGATCCCTGTCTCTTTTCCCTCCCCGGCCTATCCTTCCAAATGGCCAGGAGACCCTTCCTCAGTCTTGAGTTTCCTGCTGATGTTACCACTCTCTTTGTTTCTAGGAGAGGAAAACAATTCTAAACTTACTTTCCAGTTGGAAATGGAAAGGAGAGCTAACGTTGGAAGCCGGGAGAGTCTGTCCTGTGATGAAGTGGTCTCCGAGCCACTTCCACTGGGACGTCACGTCACTGTCTGGGCCCCTTGCTCAGCCTGTGCACAGCGCAGATGTGCCGAGCAGTCCTCCCGGACAGGGCAGTGGGTTGAAAATGACTTTGGGGTTTTGGTTTCATTACATAGCTTCCTGAGGCTCTTGGCCTGGCACTTCGAGTGGGAGCATTCCCTGTCCCACAAACTCGTGCTCTGGGCCCGTTCAGACCTGACGTGGCCTCAGCCTGAGGCTCAGGGCCCGTGGTGATGAGGAGCATTTTAGTCCAGGGTCTGCCTGCGGCTCTGACACTTCTGGGCTGTGGGACATTGTCCAGGATGATAATAATTCCTCCCCGAGTTTCAGATTTCCTTGCCTGTGAGCCGGGGTAGTAATAGTTTCTGAGATGATTGTAATGATTCAGTAATGGGTACAGCATGTGCTGGCAGGGAGCTGGTGTTTAAGGAGCAGAAGTCGCAGTCACACTGTCAGCCTCTCACTGTGCGCTCTGTGCTTTGAGAGGTTGTGTGTTTGGTGAAAGTCCCGCCCAAACCCTAGGGTCTAGAGGAACTGTTGTTTCTTTACTTTCCCTTCCTTTTCCTCTTTCCCTTCTCTGTGTCCCATGTTTAGGTAGAAGGTTCCTCTATTTCAGGGAATAGGGGCCTTTCTAGTAAAAGGACAGGCGGAACGCGGAGAGGTGTGGCCCGGAGGGGGTCTGGAGCGTCTGCACAGCGCTGCTTCTCTGTGTTTCTGCATCCGGTCCCGTCAGTGCACGAAGTCAGCCTTCATCTTCCTTCCTGTGTCATCGGGTCTCTGTTTTATGGAAAAACCTTTTTTCCGGGCCTTTGTTCACTTACATGTTTCGTTCAGATGCTTGTTGCTTTTCTCCCTGTGCTTCAGCGTTCCGAGGAGAGAATTCAGCAGTGCAGCCTCCTCTCCGAGCTCTATGAGTTGATCGGCTTCCACTGCAAGTCCGCCTTCTTCAAGCGGGTTGTCCCCGTGAAGCTCGGCGCCCGGCATCCCGGAGCCTGGCGGGAAGGCCTGCTACCGACTCCTGCTGCAGACGCTTCCTGGCTACAGTCTGTCACTGGACCTGCAGGACTTCAGCAAAGGTTTTGGAACTAAAACATTGCTTCAGTCCCATTAACCATGCCTGTTTTGGGCCCTGCTGTCCTGTCTCATCAGGGTGAATTCTGATTCGTGCAGAAAAGGGCTCAGCAAACTTTTTCTATCAAGGGCTTGGGAGTAAATATTTCAGGGTCTGCAAACCTCCTGATGTCTGGTGCAGCTGCTCAGCTCTGCTGTTCAGATGCCAGAGCACCCGGACCAGTCCACACACACACAGAGCTTTATTAACAGCGGTGGCTGGGGCTGGATTGGGTGTATGAACTGCAGTTTGTCCCCACAGCCTCCTCACTATTGACACCTGCACCAGAGCGTGCATTTGTGACAATGGGTGAACTTAAACTGACACGTCATCATCACCCAGAGCCCATACTTGACACTAGGATTTACACTTGGTGGTGTGCACTCTGTGGGTTTGGACAGATGTGCAATGACATGTATCCACCATCACATCATTATACAGAGTAATCTGTCTTAGTGACCTTAAAATGCTCCATGCTGCACCTCATTCATTGCTCCTTCCCCTCTAGCCTCTGACAGCCACTGATCTTTTAGTCTCTGTGGTTTTGTCTTCCCCAGAACACCATACAGTTGGAATGAGACAGTTGCAGAACCTTCCCAGATTGGCTTCTTTCACTTAGTAATATGCATTTAAGGTTCCTCCATGTCTTTCCATGCCTTGATAACTCATTTCATTTTAGCACCAACTAATAGTCCATTTTCTGGCTGGACCACAGTTTATCCATTCACCTACTGAAGAACAGCTTAGTTGCTTCTGAGTTCTGGAGATTATGAATAAAGCTGCTATTAACATCTGTATGCAGATTTGTGTGTGGACATGTTTCCATTTCGTCGAGTAAACACCAAGGAGCACAGTTACCAGATCATGTGTTAGGAGTACGTTTAGCTTTGTAAAAAATTGTCAGACCGTCTTCAAAAGTATCTGGGCCATTTTACATTCCCACCATCAATGCATGAGAATTCCTGATGCTCCACATCGTCACCAGCATTCGGTGCTGTCAGTGTTCTGCGTTTTGGCAGTTCTGACAGGTGTGCAGTGATACCTCGCTGTTTCAGTCTACATCCCCTTGATGACAGATGCTGTGGAGCATCTTTCCATAGACTTCTTTGGCATCTAGATTTCTTCTTTGATGAGGTGTGTGTTCAGGCGTTTTGCTCATTTTTAATCAGGTTATTCATCCTTCTTGTTGAGTTTAAAGAAATTTTGGTACATTCTGGATATCAGTCCTTTATCAGTGTGTCCCTGCCCTTCACCTGCAGCATCAGAGTTGTCCTCTGGGTCTCAGTGTAGTGCCAGCCCTTCAAAGAGGTTCCCTGTCTTCCCTCAGCCTAAATACTGTCCTTGTATTTTTCACTTTCATTGACTCATTTTGTTCTTTTTAAATAGCATTTCCTATAATTTGTAAGTACATTAAAACAAAAGGGCAATGATTGAACACCGCCTCCCCCACCAGGCTGTGTGCCCTGTGAGAGTAGAGGCCCTGTCCCCACTCACCGTTTCCCATGACAGCACATGGCACATGTCCATGTAAAAGTGTGTAACGTGGGGCCAAAGCTGATGAGCAGCTATGACAACATGTGTTGGCTACCATTTATTGAGTAGACTTTGTTTCTGATCTTAATTATTAAATCACATGAATGAAACTTGTTTGTTTTGAAAAATAAAACAACAAAGCTCACCTCCATGTGATTGGTAATTTCTACTTCGCCTTCTGAACCAGGAGGGGATGTTCACCACCATATTGTGGAGGAGGTTGGGGAGGTAAAGTAAGAGAGTGAGATCAAATAAAGTAAAAGTGATAACTATCAGTTGGCTTTATTTTCACTAAGACATAAAATTTACTTTAAACCCTATCTCAGCAGTTGTTCTGTTGTTTTAAACATTTCTCATAGAATTAAATGGAAGCCCACTAAACCCTGAAAGGGAAATTGTGTGCTCAGGTCCTAAAAAGAGTTTATGTCTATTTCTTGAAATGCACATTTTCCCTGCTGGTTACGCAAAGATGAGGCGGGAACACAGCCGTGAGCTGTGTGTGTCTGCCGGCTTCACGGGCTGCTCACAGTCATTTTCATTTTCTTGTGTTGCAGTTTATGAAGATTTTCCATGAGAAATATTGCTCAGCCTTTTCCTGAATGAAGGATTGAATTTTCCACAGGAAATCTTATGAAAGAGAGTGACAAGGCACATGGGTTTCCCAATAAGGAATAGTTGATGTAATAAACTCTCACTATGGTGAACTTTTTTAATACAAGCCAGTTGAAAATTTTATCACTAGGTCATATGCCACAAATCTGTCATAAGAATAAAAAGATTCAAATTTTATAAGAAGAATCAGTTTGAATCAAGTAGAAATTATGATTTGTACAATATTTGTTGTTAGAACTTGTACTCAGTCTTATTATAATTGCCTGTGGTAGGAACTGGATCATTATTTATTTATTAAAAAAATCCACTAGGTGTTATTTGCCCCATTCTTGATGCAGCAGTGCTGAGGTTAGTTAAGTTGGGCCATTTAGGATTCGTAGCTAGGTTTTCCGGACATTGATTTCAGCCTTTTTATCTTTTCTACAATCTCTTCTTTTGTGTCGGACTTTGGTCTTTTGACAACTTGGAAATACTGCACGGATCTACCTTTCCCTTTTTTCCTGTCTTTGCGGGAAAAGATTTCTGTAAGACAAACTACTAGGATATTAATGATTTTGTGTGGGGTAAGTTTGGTCAGTTCTAAGGATTTCAATTAATACGTATTAATACTTGCTATTCAGCTAATGACAGTAAAATTATAAACTAACTTAAGTATACGTCAGTAAGTATAGTACAATAAGCCCAACACCCAGATTAAGGAATTCACAAACTTTTCCATATTTCCTTTATTCAGACCTTTGTTCTTTTATTTGTCCTTTGTTAAACTATTTGACAGCAAATCCAAGAAGACATGTCGTTTTACCCTATGTACTCAAGTAGGCATGTCTGAAAAATGAGGGCCTTTTCTTTGTTCAGGTTTTTCCATTTGACCGATGTGCTCGTTAAGTACCAGCTGTATCAGGCATCTCACTAGGCATTAGGGATCCTTGGGGCAATGAGACAGTCCTGGCTCCCAAGGAAGTTAAGGGCTGATGGAAGAAACCAACACAGGAGCTTGGGTCCCTCACTTAAGGTCCCTGCTGGATGACAGCAATTGAACAAAATTTGTGCACAATACAGTAGGATTCACAGAAGGGACTGGTCAGACTTCTAGGGCAGACCGTGAGAGAGGCGGTCAGCAGGGCTACAAGAGGAGGAATCATTTGATCAGAATCTGAAATCCTTTCTGCCAACCTTTCTACCAAGCCCCCAGGGCCCATCACACACGACCCTGTGCTGTAATTGTTTTTGATTCCAGTTACCACATCTCCTTCAGGAAGGATTTTAAGGTGGAAAATATTTAAAATCCATAATTGTTGCCAGAAGGGACATAGAACAAGGAAGTTAGAAACAACACAAATGTCCATCAGCACATGACTGGATAAAGATGAGGTGATACATATATACAATGGACTACTACTCAGCCATAAAAGATGCCATTTGCAGCAACATGGATGGACCTGAAGTCTGTCATTCTAAGTGAAGTGGG